AGGTCCCAAGCAACCCTATTGTGGCAAAGGGAGGCGCTGTGTAGATACTTTTGGTACAGCACCCAGGTGAAGGCAAACTGGTCCTGAGCAGATGGGACTTTGTTGTTGTTGTTAAATGCCATCAAGTTGGCAGCAGCTTACTGGGAAGCCCTTGGTGGGTTTGAATAATCAACTTTGTGGTTATCAGTTCAGTACATCTCCTATTGTTGTTGTTGTTGTTAAGTGCTGTTGAGTTGATTCCGACCCATAGCAACCCTGTATGTTGTTGTTGTTGAGTGCCGTCGAGTCAGTTCTGACCCATAGCGACCCTGTACAGGGTTTCCGAGGGTGTAAATCCTTGCGGGAGTAGAAAGCCTCATCTTTCTCCCGCGGAGCGGCTGGTAGTTTCGAACCGCTGACCTTAAGGTTAGCAGCCCGATTCGTAACCACTACGCTACAGCAGCTGGTGAGCTTGAACCACTGACTTTGCAGTTCAAACGATTTAGCAGTCTGACGCATTAGCCCACATAGCCATTTATTAAAGAACACATTAGTCAGGTTTAGTGCAGCATGATCTGTGCCCAGGTCTCTACCAAAAATTACTAGTAAGAACATTATGTTCTGGACTGTTTTCACTACTTTTACCTGCTTTTGGAATTTTCTCACAAAGAGTCCACCCTTAGAGTGCATTCTGCCAAAGGGATGGCCTTGAAATCATTCAGTGTTCCCAAAGATAAGGGTGTACTCTGATCAACTAGAGCTGGTCTTGTGCCTTCTTTGTTTTTGACCAATTTATTGTGACTTCTACATGGTGTTTCTGGTCTCTGCGGTGAACTCTGGCCTGCAGGTGAGTTCAGCTCCTGCCTAGTCTCTAGGGACTAGAAGGTCCACCAAAGTCAAAGGACAGTAGGGGGTCAGTAAGACCCAAAGAGTGTTGGTGTTGCTCCAGTTTCTAATACTTCTTCCAAAGCTGCCCAAACTGAAGCTGGTTGCTAACCTTCTTATTGTCATCTTGACAACCTGCTATTTGGTATTTTTAGGGGCCTTTCTAGATTGCTTAGTAGCAGGGTTTTTGCTTTCTTGTTTTTTCTCTTTTCCGTCACTCACGCCCCATGTGTGAGTTGAAAGATAATGGAATTCTATGAACTTTTTGAAACAACCTTGTGTGTATGTGTGTGTGTACATGTATGTGTGTGTATATTGTTGTTGTTACGTAGTTCTGACTCATAGCGAACCTGTATAGGGTTTCTGAGGAGTGGCTGGTGGGTTTGAATCACTGTCCATATGGTTAGCAGTCCAGTTCTTATCCTACAGTGCCACACCTGGACTCCAAATATATAATCATATATACACATTAATATGTATGTACACACAAACACACAAGATAACTTCACAATTTCTTTATCTTTTAACTACATTTTTCCATGAACTTTTTTTTCATTTTTTATTATGAATTGAGCAAAAGTGTACAGAGCAGATCATCAGTTTTACATTCAATAAATCAGACTTTGCTTCATTACAATGATTGCAATCCCCTCCATGTACCAACGGTTAACAGTATTTACTTCTATTCATATTGACAATTGCATTCCTCCTTGTGTCTCCTGTTACCTTCATCTTTCCTCTACTAAGCTTCCTCTAGTTGTATATTGCTTGCCCTGTCACCCATGTTAACATGTCTACCCTTAAATAAGTTTTCTTCCCTCTTTCCTGCTCTGTAACCACCAATGATTGTTTCATTTATCAAGAAAACCTTTTCTTAACTTTTCACATGATTATCTCATACAATATTTGTCCTTTTGTAACTAATTTCACTCAGCATAATGTCTTCCAGGGTCATCCATATTGTGAAGTGTTTCTCAGATTCATCATTATTCTTCAACATTGCTTAGTATTCTATTGTGTACATGTGCCACAACTTTTTAAAAATTCTTCTGTTCATGGGCATTTAGGCTGTCTCCATCTATTTGATGTGCCTCTTGTAGGCAACATACTGAAGGGTCCTGTTTTCTTATCCATTTTGCTCTCTCTGTCTCTTGACTGGTGCATTTAATCCATTTATATTTGGTGTAATTGCCAATAGATATGAATTGATTGCTGTCATTTTGCTGTGTGATTTTTTTTATGGTAGAGTCCTGCTGTGGCGCTGTGGGTTAATGTGCAAAGTTGGTTTGATCTGCAAGGTCAGTGGTTAAAACTCACCAACTGCTCCCCCGAAACTCTATACAGGCTCAGAACTGACTTGACGGCACGTAACAACAAACTTTTGTGGCACTGCTGGTTTCTTTGATCCACATAATTTTCTGTGCTGAGTTCATTTTGTTTGTGGTTTTTCTTTTCGGTTTCATTTCTATTGTGCTAATGGCTGCTAGATCTTTCTGACATTCCTCTATTTTTATATTTTGATGTTCTGATGTATACATTTTCTTAGAGGTTACCCTGTAGTTTATTAAATCATTTCCCTGTTTAAAACAGTCTGTTGTATCTTGCAAGCTGCTTGACTTCCGTGCCATTTGGAAGTTCTGTATCTACACTATTCCCTCTTTGTTTCTTTGTAGTAGAGTTCATTATACAGTGACATCTCTGGTCCCCTATTTTCAGTCTTGTAGGTTGCTTCACTTTTAATACTTCTGTGTCTGTATTGAGTTCTGGGTGGTGGTGTCACGTACGGTAATCTCAGGTTGTTGTTTGCTGTTGTTGGTTCTTAGTCCGAAGAACACCCTGTAGAATTTTTGTAAAGTTGATCTGGTCATTACAAATTTCTTTTATCAGGAAATGTCTTAATTTTTCTGTCATATTTGGGACAGCTTTGCTATATATATGATCCTTTGTTGCCAATCTTTTCTCTCAGAGTTTTATATATGTCATCCCATTGCCTTCTTTCATGCATAGTTTCTGCTGAGAAATCTGAGTTTAGTTTAATTGGTCCTCCTTTGTAGGTACCTTTAAATATTTGCTGTCAGGATTCTTTCCTTGTCTTTGGTTTTGGAAAGTTTGATTATGATACATCCTGGTGATTTTCTTTGGGATCTATTCTTTTTTTAAGTTTGTTCAACTTCTTATATGCTTATCTTCTCGTCTTTCATGATGCTAGAGAAGTTTTCTTCCAACAACTTTTCAACAAATTTCTCTGTGCTTTTTATGGTCTCTTTTTGTTTTGGAATTCCAATCATCCATAAGTTGGTTCTCTTCATGGCGTCTCACATAAGTCTTAGGCTTTCTTTGGATTTTTTCATTCTTTTTTCTTATTGTTCTTCTAACATACTTTTAGTGAGAGATTTATCTTCAAGCTCACTAATTTGGACTTCTATCGCTTCACATCTACTCCTTTGTCCTTTCATAGTGTCTGTTTCTAAAATCCTAGTATTAATCTTCTGGATTTCTAATCACAGGTTTGTATTGTTTTTGAAATTTGCACTTATTTTGTCTATTTGTTCTTGCAGTGTTTTCCTGAATTCTTCTAAAGATTTTCTTTGTTTTCCTCAGTCTTTCTGTCTATCCTTTGATGATATTTAAATATCATTATTTTTACTTCTTTTTCACTTTGTTCCACTCCTTTTTTTCTTCTTCACAAACATTTTCTGGCTCTGAATCTTAGTCATTTGTTTCAGCCATTCTTTCTTGTTTCATGTGAGCTAAAATTGACTGTTGTCTCTTGGGCATATTAAGGTTGTTATGTTTGTATTTAATTGATGATTATATGTTGATGCGTTCTGAGGCTCTCACTGACTGTCTCCTGTGATGTAGTTAGAGAATGGAAGTGTGTACAGTGTTCTCATTCGCTATTCCACTTAGGATGTGTAAGGTTGATGTTGGCTGCTGTCTATTATCGATCAGGTGCTATAAGAGTTAGTATTGGCTCTTGCCCAGTGGGTGCAGGTGGGTACAGTTGTGGCTGGTCTGTATGGACATGGTTGCTCTCTCTTATTTGGTTGTTGTTGTTGTTGTTAAGTGCCATCGAGTCGGGTCCGACCCATAGCGACCCTGTACAGGGTAGGAACTAGAAAACCCCTCCCTTGCCACACACACAAAACAACAAAACAGAATAAACTAACAAGTTAGCCAACAATGAAAGAGAAAATAATGAAGAGAAAAAGGAAATGAATTCAGGCAGTAATAAGACAAAAATGTATAATAACTATAAAGACAAACATGGGACAGGGGAATGGAGTTTAGAAGAGAAAAATAAGAGCGAAAATAAAAGAAAGAAATATAAAAACAAAACAAAACACTTTAGAATAAGTAAAAAAAAAAAGACAAGAGGGACAGGAAAATAGGGTAAAGAAGAGAAAAATAAGAGAGGAAATAAAAGGAAGAAATAAAGAAAAACACTTAGCAAAACAAGGGAGATAGAAGATGAAAAGAGAGTAGAGAGTAGTAAAAAAGATTAAAAGGGGAAAAAAGGAGAGAAAATGAGTAACAGACAAAAAGTAGGAAAACAAAAGCAGAGATAGAAATGATAAAATGTAAGGGGATGGAAAGATAAGGAGGAGAAAGAATAAACAAACAAAAACAATGAAACAACCGAAGGAAAAAAAAAAAAAAACGAAACAGTGTAGTTGTTGGACCCAGAAAGAAGAAAATTCTGTGAGGGCTCATACATTCCAAGGGTCTCAGAAGGTGGATGTAGGAGGGATGTGACAGCACAGTTCCTGGTCCTAGATGGAGTTCTAGGTGTTATCTGTGTTCAGGGCACGCAGTCTAAAAGTCATTCGTGGAAGCCCTTGATGGATCTGCTGTCAGTGTCTATTAGGACCACGCGGAAGCTGGGGACAGGGTGACTGGGCTGGTGGTGTTGTAGGTTCTGTAGGTCTGGAGCCAAGCCTGCCTGAATCCATGCAACAAAAGTGGCACAACAAAATGGCTCAGCTGGCTTTAACTTCACATAGGCACGAATCCCAACCACGTAGCTCTGAACTCCCATAGAGCAGGGTCTGTACTGCAGGTGGATGATGATGGGAGCTGACTACACCTTTGTTCACCAAGGAAGCATGGGGGAGAAGACAGATTAGCACTTTTACCCATTCCTGTGTAAAACTGCTTTGTCAGAACACCTTCTTTTACCAAAGCTGCTTATAAAAATTCAAGATGGTTACGCATTATCTGGGTGGCTGTTCACCAGTCAGTCTCCGTTTTCACTGTCCCTGCTCAGTTTCTCCTCTTAGCAAGCTCTCAATCCACTTCGTTAACCTTTCCACTGAAGCTCAGAGTTCCAGGATTTTCATCCGTTTATGTTTCATTTAGTTTTACAATGAACGGGGCTCAGAACGTTGTTAAGTGCTGTCAAGTTGATTCTGACTCATAGCAACACTGTATAGGGTTCCAGAGACTGTAAATAATTACAGGAGCAGAAAGTCTCATCTTTCTTCTAAAGATGGATTCAAACTATTGGCTTGTGGTAAGCAGACCAACACATAACCGACTATGCCACTAGTGCCCTGTAATCATTTCAGAATAACAGAAGACTGGAAATAGTGCACATGCCTATGGACAGGGATGAGTTAGATAAACTACAGTGTATTCATATTTGGGGAGTTCCATGTGTTCATGTATGGAAAGTTCTCCAAGCTATATGGTATTGTTATGGAAAAGAGCAAGTGCAGGATCAGTGTATGCAGTCGGATCCACCTCTTGAGAATGAAAAGGGAGAGATAAAACATGTGTTAACACTGAACAGATAGCTAAGAAAAAATACACGATTACCTCGTGGGAAGTGGAGAGGGTGTATTCTCCATATTTGCCTTATTTTTGTTTAAACACTACCACCCCTGCCTTTTTTATTACCCATTCAAAAAGTTGGAGCCTTGGTGTGGGATTGTAGGATAAACACTGGACTGTTGTTGTTAATCACACAGTTGGCAGTTCTCTATTTTCAGTCTTGTAGGTCTATATTTCTTTGAATACTTTCCTATCTGTGTTCAGTCTAGGTGATAATGCCATGTATGTTAGTCTCAGGTTGTTGTCTGCTATTGTTGGTTCTCTGTCCAAAGTACTCCTTTTAGTAGGTTCATTTGGTTTTTACAATTTTTCCTAATTTCTGTTTATCTGAAAATGACCTAAGTTTTTCATCATATTTGATAGACAATTTTGATGGATATATGATTTTTAGTTGATAGTTTTTATATTTCCAAGTTTTATATATGTCATTCCATTATCTTCTTGCCTGCAAGGTTTCTGCTGAGAAATCAGAGCTTAGTCTTATTAGGTCTCCTTTGTAGATAACTTTTTGCGCTTGAGCTGCTTTCAGGATTCTTTTCTGTTTTGAGTTTTAAAAAGTTTGATTGTAATGTGTCTTGGTGTTTTTCTTTTGGGGTCTATCCTGCTTGGAATACATTCAACAATCTTCTAATCTTTCATGACGTTAGGGAAGTTTTCTTCAAACAATTCTTGGACAATATTCTTTATGTCTTTTTTTTTTTTGGTCTCTTCCTGTTCTGGGATTCCAATCACAAGTAAGTTATTCCTCTTGGTTGTTGTTGTTAAGTGCCATCAAGTCAGTTTCGACCCATAGCGAGAATATTCTGTATAGAGTTTCCGAGGAGCAGTTAGTGAGCTTGAACCATCGACCTTGTAGTTCAAACCAACCTTGCAGCCTAGCGCGTTAACCCACAGTGCCACATCAGGACTCCATTTCTCTTGGTAGTACCCCAGAGTAGGTTTTTAATAGGAAACAGTTTGCATGTGCAGAATCAGCCGCTGATGTAGGAATGCTGAAGTCATCCACCCCATTTATTTCTTAGAGTTGGTAGATGTGGCAGACACTTCAGATCCTGGCATCTCTCCATTGTAAGTAGCTTTGGAAACAAGGGGAAAAAAAATTAAAGTATCAGAGAACCTCCTTCTCAGCCTCCTTCACACATGCAGAAAAAATTGATAGACCTCTGTTCTCAGTTAACTTCACTTCTCTCTGGGTACTATCCCTTCTCAATTCCTCACATAAAAAGTAATGTTCTGTGGTGAGGGTCGAACCTCTCAGGAACACAGTTCAACGTAGGTTCTCAGATAGGGTTGCCAGATTTGGCAAATGAAACAAGACATCCAGTTAAATTTTAATTTCAGATGAACAAACAATTTTTAGTTTAAGTATTGTTGTTAAGTGCCAGCGAGTCAGTTCCAACCTATAGGATTTACATGGAATGACTGGTGAGCTTGAACAGCTGACCTTGCAGTTCAAACCAACTTTGCTGTCTAATACATTAACCAATGGCGCCACACCAGCACTGCAGTTTAAGTATGTCTCATGCAATATTTGGGGTATACTTATACTAAAAAAACCTCAAGTTGTTGCTTACCTGAAACTCAAATTTAACTCAGTTGCCCTGTATTTTGGAGAAGTCCTGGTGATGCAGTAGTTAAGCACTTGACCACTGAGAGGTCACTGGTTCAAACCCATTAGCTACCCTGCAGGAGAAAGATGAGCTTATCTCTTTCTATAAAGAATTACAGTCTCGAGAACCCTAGGGAGCAATTTCTCCATGACATAATAGTGGTGGGTTTGGGGTCCTGTATTTTATCTGCAGATGCCACCTAAAGGAACTGATGAAGTTTACTTAATTTTGTTAGCTCAGAAAGGTGAGAAGAATCTAGCCCATTACTGTCCAGTAGAAAGTCTTGTGGTGATGAGCATGTTCTGCATCTATGATGAGAGTAGCCAACAGCCAAAGGTACTACTGAGTACTGAGCACTTGCATTGTGGAGTCCTAGTGTGGCACTGTTGAATTAGCATTGAACTGCTAATCACTAGGTCAGAGATTCAAACTCACTGGTCTCTCCTTGGAAACCCTACACAGGGTTACTATGGGTTGGATCCAACTCAGTGGCATTGAACAACCACAAACTTAGTTAATGCAACTGAGGAGCTAATGTTAATGTCTCATGCGGCTAATGGCTGCTTTATCAGAACAGCTCAGTTCTATAAACAGTCATGCTTCTTCCTCAGTATTTAGGAACTGGGGGTTAAGATAGGGTGGTGGTTAAAGTGGGACTAACGCACAAATCCCTGCAAGTTTTATTGGTGATTGCTTCATTTTTGTGCAGATTTAAGTGTGTTATCAAGCATATTTATTTACTCATTCAGACTATTTACTGACAATCTATTACATGGGAAGAACCAGGGTGAGACAGAATTCTTCGAGAATCTCTTTATCCAGTATTAACTGAACGAAACAGTACCTGGCTGGTCACACACACCCTTGTCTTCCCATGATTCTAAGCAAACATCTAGTAACCATGGACCTAGTAACATAATAAAGGGGTCTTTTATGCACGATAACATCCAGCAAAGAAGTCCTTTAAAGAATTAAGGGCTTCCTGGGTAACTGAAGGTTATCATTAGACACCAAGTCTGGAGAGATTAAGAATAAAGGAAAAAAGTGAGTGTGGAAAACAAAAACAGGCTTACTTCCAAATTTCAATGCCTCCCTGGTAGGGAGGTAGGGATGTAGGCAATGCAATAGCTTCCGGACAGACATTTTAGTACAGAAATTCAGATTAGCATGTGTAGCGTAGTGGTTACGAATCGGGCTACGAACCTTAAGGTCAGCGGTTCGAAACTACCAGCCGCTCCGCGGGAAAAAGATGAGGCTTTCTACTCTTGTAAAGATTTACACCCTCGGAAACCCTGTACAGGGTCGCTATGGGTCAGAACTGACTCGATGGCTCTTAACAACAACAACATAGTTTCGGAGGGAATTCTGGTTTTCATTGGATGTTTGAGTACCCAAGGCTCTCTGCTAGGTACTAGATCCCTACTTCACCAAAGGGAGAATCTAATAGAGAGAGGCAAAGGAAAATCAAAACAAACCCACTGCTATCAAGTTGATTCCAACTCACGGTGAGCCCATGTGTTAGACTGCAAGTGCAATTGCTCTAATCTTTTCATAAGCAGATGGCCAGGCCCTTCTTTTGTGGTGACATTGGGTGATTTGAACTGCTATCCTTTAGGTTAGTAGCCCAGTGCACACTACTTGCAGCACACAAGGACCTTTTCTCACTCACTGTATTTGAAAAATCTCACACTGTATTCTGAAGAACCTAAGCAGGGTGTTTGTTAGAAAGTAACTTGGAATGGAAGGTAAGGAGAGGAAAGCTACTTTTTTTGTTTTATACCTTTGCTTGTTACAAAACGAACACATGTTCATTTTAATACTTCATGTATGGGAGCTCTGGTAGCGTAGTGGTTACGAATCGGGCTGCGAACCGCAAGGTCAGCAGTTCGAAACTACCAGCCACTCCGCGGGAGAAAGATGAGGCTTTCTGCTCCTGTAAAGATTTACAGCCTCGGAAACCCTGTACAGGGTTACTATGGATCGGAAGCGACTCGACGGCACTTAACAACAACAAATATGGATATTTAAGAAAAAAGTGTTAATCTTTACCCAACTCCAATTCATCTTTCTGAAATAAACAATATGTTGGGTTTTCTTTCACATCTTTCTCTATATTCACTTACCCTCATTAGTGTTGTTGTTGCTAAGTGCCATAGTATCGAACCTGACTTACACAGGCCCTGTACAGGGTTTCTGAGGAGCCGTTGGTGGATTTGGCCAACCTTAAGCTTCGCAGACTAGTGCTGATCCTACAGTGTCACACCAGGAGTCCACTCATTATAGTTGTTGTTTATTGTTAAGTACTGACAAGTTGGTTCCGACTCATAGGATTTCCAAGGAGTGGCTGGTGAGTTTGAACCACCAACCCTGAAGTTCAAACCAACCTTGAGGTCAAGTGCTTATCCTACAGCACCACTAATTCTATTTCACTGCTCATTCGTTTTTTGGTGGTGGTGTTGTTAAGTGCTATTGATTTGATTCCAACTCATAGTAACCCTGTATAAGGTTTCCAAGAAGTGGCTGGTGAGCTTAAACCACCGACCTTGTGGTTCAAACCGACCTTGCTGTCCACTGCTTTATCCTACAGTGCCACACCTGGATGCCCTGTTGTTGAACAGTATCCTTACTCACAGTTATTCACATGCATTACAGTTATAATTGTTTGTCAGTTCCCCACCCTCAATTATGTTGCTGTTGTAAGTGTTGTTGAGT